GGGGGGTCCCTGCCCTGGGATGGGTGTCCAGGGGAATGGGGGGTCCCAGGAGTGGGGGGTTCAGGGGATTTGGGGAGCCAGGGATGGGTGTCCAGGGGAATGGGGGGTCCCAGGAGTGGGGGGTTCAGGGGATTTGGGGAGCCAGGGATGGGGGTCCAGGGGAATGGGGGTCCCCTGGGCTGGGGCACTCAGGGATGGGAGTTCCAGGAGTGGGGGGCTCAGGTTTTGGGGTGACCCCGAGCCCAGCACACCCCCCCCCAGGTGCCGGCGGTTTTGGGGGTGACCCCAGCCGGATTCCGAGGGGCTCTGCTCTGTCCCCGCCCCCCCGGGACTTTTTTTTCTTCTCTCATTTCCATTTCCTTCCCTTTTCTCTGCCGCTTTCGCAGCCCCGCGGCTCCTGGGGAAATCCTGGGGGGAGGAAGGGGGTTCTGTTTTGGGGGGGCACATGGGGGGTCCTGCCCCTGTCCTGGGGGGCACATGGGGGGTCCTGCCCCTGTTTTGGGGGGTTCTGTCCTTGGGGGCACATGGGGAGGTCCTGTCCCTGTCCTGGGGGGCACATCGGGGGTCCTGTCCCTGTTTTGGGGGGTTCTGTCCTTGGGGGCACATCCATGGGGGTCCTGTTCCTATTCCGGGGGTGGCACATCCAGGTGGGTGGCACATCCCGGGGGCACTGGGCAGGGATGGGCACGGGGGCTTTGGGCACCGGGGGCACCGGGAACACCGGGCAGGGATGGGCACGGGGGCTTTGGGCACCGGGAACACCGGGCACGGTTTGGGCACCGGGAACACCGGGCAGGGATTGGCACCGGGCACGGTTTGGGCACCGGGCACGGTTTGGGCACCGGGCAGGGATGGGGATGGGGGCTTTGGGCACCGGGGGGCACCGGGCACGGTTTGGGCCCCGGGGGTTTTGGGCACCGGGAACACCGGGCACGGTTTGGGCACCGGGCAGGGATTGGCACCGGGCACGGTTTGGGCCCCGGGCACGGTTTGGGCCCCGGGGGTTTTGGGCACCGGGAACACCGGGCACGGTTTGGGCACCGGGCACGGTTTGGGCCCCGGGCACGGTTTGGCACCGGGGGTTTTGGGTTTCCCCGCCCCAGCGCGTTTTTAGGGCCCGCCCCGTTCCTGCCTGGCCCCAAATTTGGGATTTGGGCCGGCGGGGCGGGGCTGCCGCGGCACCGGCGCCGCTCGCGGCAAATTCTGGGAGCGGCTCCGGATCTCTTATCTCGGAGGCAGCCGGAGGAAAAGCTCCTAATTGGATTCCGGGATTAATTAACCACTTAATTAATCCCAGCAGTTCCGGCTCCCTCACCTCCGGGGGGTGCCGAAGCCGAATCCAGCACAAATCCGAATTTTAGGGAGCTAAAATCCAAATTTTAGAGAGCTAAAATCCAAATTTTGGGAAGGTAAAATCCAAATTTTCGGAAGCTAAAATCCGAATTTTGGGAAGCTAAAATTCAAATTTTAAGGAGATAAAATCCAAATTTTAGGGAGGTAAAATCCAAATTTTGGGAAGATAAAATCCAAATTTTGGGAAGCTAAAATCCAAATTTTGGGAAGCTGCCCCGGGATCTGGTGTGGGGAGAGCCAAAATTTGGGAAATTTTTGGGAGCGAGGGTCCAGGGAAAGGCGCAGGGCCGGGAGGTGGCGTCAGAGCCGGGGTTTGGAGCGGGAATCGGAAATCCCGGGAATCAGAAATCGGAAATCCCGGGAATCAGAAATCGGAAATCCCGGGAAAATAGAAATCCCGGGGGAAATAGAAATTCTGAGAAGATAGAATTCCTGGGAAAATAGAATTCCTGGGATTCAGAAACCCCGGGAATCGGGGACATTTAGGGGAATTTAATGGGATTTATATGGGGTTTGGGGGGATTTAAATGGGATTTTTGGGGTGGCTTTGGAGGGACTTTTGGGGGATTTTGGGGGTTTTTGGTGGGATTTTGGGGGGATTTTGGGGGGATTTTAGGGTGATTTTTGGCGGATTTTTGGGGGTGTTTTTGGGGGAATTTTTGGGTGGATTTTTTGTGGGGATTTTTGAAGGGATTTTTGTGGGGATTTTTGGGAGGATTTTTGGGGATTTTTGGGTGGATTTTTTTGGGGGATTTTTTGGGGGGATTTTTGTGGGGATTTTTGGGGATTTTTGGGTGGATTTTTTGTGGGGATTTTTGAGGGGATTTTTGTGGGGATTTTTGGGAGGATTTTGGGGAATTTTTGGGGGGGATTTCTGGGGGTCTCACCCCGCCCTTTCCCGCAGCCCTCGGGCCGAGCCCTGGGGGGATTTGGGGACCCCTGGGGGGGATTTGGGGACCCCCGGGAGGATTTGGGGACCCCCGGGGAGGATTTGGGGACCCCGGGGGGATTTGGGGACCCGGGGACCAGGGACGGGCCGTGGGGCTGCCAAGTGCAGAACACGGGGAACTGAAGAACCCCCAAAAAAACCCCCAAAAAAAGCACCTCAAAACCTCATTTTCCAAAAAAAAAAAAACCCAAATTTTGATCCGAATAGGGGGGTTGACCCCCAAAAATCCCCAAATCGCCACGAGAGGCAGCGGAGCCGCGCGTTCGCGCTCCGGGAGCGCGGCTGAACTTTAGGAACCCCGGCCCTAATTAAAAGCGCCTCATTAAGAGCCTCATTAAGGCAAGCTCCTCCAATTTAGCCTCGTTTTGACCTCCCCAAAATTTCCCCTCGGAGCCGCTCGGCTTCGCTTCCTGCTGGCGGCCGGGGTGAGTCAAAGTTTGGGGTTTTGGGGAGACGCGGAGGCCGCCGCGGTTTTGGGGTTGCTCCGATTTTAGGGCAGGTTCGGGTTTTTGGGGTGATTCAGGTTTGGGGTGCGGGTGAGTCAGGCTTTGGGGCCGCCGCGCTTTTGGGGTGATTCAGCTTTGGGGCTCGGGCCAGTTTTGGGGTTTGGTCCAATTTTGGGACTGATTCAGTTTTTGGGGCAGGTTCAGGTTTTGGGGTTTGGTCCAATTTTG